GAGAGAGAGAGAGGGGGGAGAGATGGCACAATTGGTAATTTTGATAGTTTATTCCTTAAAAAATCTAAGATTCTTTGATAAAATCGGATACATATAGCAGAGGGGACAGACCTTCCGCTTTTTCCTACTAAGATATGATAGAAATATTTCTTTCAATGTGGTGTGTGATCGGAGCTAATAACGAGACAAGCGTTACATCATATCAAGAGTCAGGAGGAGAGCGTAGGAGCGATTGCAATAAGAAAGGTCGGCATCGAGAAAAAGGGGAAGAAAAAGGGGAAAGAAGCGGGTGGCAGTCGGCACCGGTGCCACCGGTCGCAGTCGCGGAATATGCGTGCACGCGAAAGTCGAAAGCCGAAAGCTCGTGCGTGCGTGCGTGCGTGCGTGCGCGCGCTTTATAAGCACCGTGCCACTGTTTCAGCCGCCGTTTCGGAGCAGCGCGAAGCCGAATGACTGAGCGAGGGTGCGGACCCGCGTGGCCCGCATTGGCTGTTGAATTATATATGAATGGAGCGTAAGGGCTGTTGCCTAGCAACCGCATACACCGCGTTAAGACAAAATGGAGAAGCACGCAGCATCCGTAGCTCTAGCTATCTCTCTCATGCCCTCCATCGCTCCTCCTCCCTCTCTCCCTCTCTCTCATCCTCTTTCTTTCTCTCTCGCTCTTTCTCTCTATCTTTGGTCCATCCTCTCTTTCTCTCATTCTCTCTCTCTCTCTCTCTCTCTCTCTCTCTCTCTCTTTCTCTCTCTCTCCCCCCTCATATGTTCGCGATCTCAGAGGTCTCTTTCTACTGTGGTAGGTCGATGGATTATCGGATTATCGAATCGATGCTAAAGCATTGATTCGCGAACGACTATTGATTGGATTCTTGAATCAACGATTGAATTATGGATACATCAAGTTGGTGCAAAAAGTTTGTCATTGTTTTATCAAGTTTTACCGTAAATAGGATTATAGATTTGAGATTTGAAAATTAAAAAACTTTTTTCTAAGTTAAAGAAATATAGGATTAAAATCAATGGTAATAATTTTTCATTAATAAGAATATCTTAAAATTATGTAATTTTATTTTAATTTTATTTGACAAATTTTTTTTATATTATAATTTTAATAAGCATTTGGTAAATCACATAGATGCATAAAAATATCTATGTTTATTTGTACCAAGATATAAACGCGATTATCAGAGATATTTTTGTGACTGTACCGAAAATTGAACGTATACGATTAATTTCAATCTCTGTTTGATAGCTTGATATTATAAATTTTTCTAATTATAATCACAATTTTGAAAATGATATAAAAAAGGGAAAGAGGAATATACTTTTGAGAGGAATATATAAATACAGTTTAAGCAATTTTAATTTAGTTTTTTTATATATCGATTATGCCATACAGAATTTTAATAGAAGAATAATTTAATCTCACGGGAGTAAGCATGTATTTTTTTTTTTTTCGTCGCAGAGATACTCACAATGCACTGGTCTTTTCCTATATTAACGCACATTGCACAGATTTTTTTTTGCGTCCGCTATTTCTGCTGTTTTACGTGCGTGAGTATTAAGCTGATAAGTAGACGTATATTTGACGGGAGCAATGCGCCTCCATTAGCAAGCACTACGCCGATCTCTCTCCCTCCAGTTCTCTCCTCCCTACACTCCACCCCGACCATTATATCTGAAGTTCCTATATATAGCGTAGGATGAGCCAGGTACCATTATTATGCCGAAAGTGTGCATTATTCGCCTCTCTTTTCTTCAACATATACTTAACCGCTTTGAAGGTTTTACGTTCCCGATCGTTTCGCAAAGCCAGATTTCTTAAGAGATTTTGATGATATTACTGACGTTTGAGATTAATGTCAAGCTTTTGGCTATAAATTTTATATATCTCCTGTATAACATATTTTCAACTTTTCTTATAAATAAAAAATTATTATTTATCGACGTGATGCGTAACAGCGGGGATGCGATTACAAAACTACTACTATGTCGAAACTATGTCAAATTATATAACAAAAATATATAAAATTATAGTAATGTTTAGAATAATCAATATTTACAAGAATACTTTGCATGTCTGCATATAAAATTATACAAATGATTAATTCAATAAGCTGGAATTAAATAAAAAATAATTTAGTTATTTTATGCTTCGTGATCGCTTTACTTGTTTTCTAAGATTTCTTCTCTTCTTAGATTTGCTGCATTTATACTACTTGCAAAAACACAGTTAATTACAATTATACTTATTATTAATCATCAGAATAGGATAACACAGCACTCCCAATTTTAATCACATGTGACACGCATTTTACTATTGTACATTGTGAAATCCATTGAAATGATATATCGTTAGATATTTTTAGATATCTAATTCTAATATTTAAAAAAATATACTCTCGAGTCAGATCTTTTTACTTAAATTATTATGTTATTGAGTTTTCAAATTGCATCGTGATTAGAAAAATGAGGTAACGAATAAAAGAATTTAGATTAATTTAAAACCGTTTCATATCTCAAGACAAAGTTCAGCTGAGTTCTTTAGTAGAAAAATGCGACTATAAATACGAGCTTTAAACGCATGGCGGATCACTGTCGGCAAAGTTACGCTCTTCTTCTTCAGAAGGGACATTTTCTCTTACTTTCTCTCCTTCGTAATCCATTTGATCTGATCTTCTCGCAACCTTTTTCACCCACCGGATCACATCACAGATCAGCGCTACTTCTTGGTGACACATATCAGAGTAGCCAGGAGTCCCATACGGCTATGCCAAGCCGATCATCTCAAATTACAAAGAGTATTGGAAACGGATTTATTTCAGCGCCCTTTTCTATTCTATTATGGACTTAATAGTGTATTATGTAAGATGCAAGGATGCTTTCTTGATGCACGGTCGTTTCTGAATCTAAAATACTTTCCTTGACAAAATATACGTTTATCAGTGTCGAGACGTGTAGTCTTTTCAAAAATTCTTGTTCTCCAGAACAGACACTTGGTTAAAAGCGCGGTCCGCGCTATTTATATTAGGTTATTATCAGGTTTGCAGAGAGAAAGAGATAAACGTTTACGTTAAAGATTATGTAATATACAAGCATGTATTGATAATGGAATGTGCAATTACGCGGGAGTATCTATTACGAGAGAAAACATCCGCCGCGCAGTCAGATTAAAAGCGTAATAATCAAATATGGTACACTTAATTCTACTGTATCCCCACATAATTCCATGGAAAATACATTTCTCCCCCAATCTGAAGACCCCATCCGGGCTGTTAAATATAATCTGGTACCGCGTTTGTTACTTCTTACTCTTCCATCTCCTCCTCGCAATATTCGGAGTTCCCAGTTTCCTCGCGTAGGCTTTGTAGGCGCAGAACAAGGGGTTAACCTCCTACATTATTCAGCCATTCATTATATATGAATAAATTTTCGAGTAATGCCGAGATAAAGCTGCCAAGTTTTAGGTACCTGCCCCGCTTGAATATTTAGGAGACACTGTCACGCAGTACCGTTATGCTCGGTCTTCTTCTTAACTTTCACAGATTCGTATATGATACTGATCATTCTTTCCGATGTGTGTGTGTGTGTGTGTGTGTGTGTGTGTGAGCGCGCGCGTGTGCGTGTGCGCGCGCGCATTGAGATATGCCTTTTGGAAATACTTTCAAATTATGTATGCTTTTCTATAACTTTTCATCTTGATATACTTTAAGCAACATCTTATTGAATTTTATAAAGAACAGTTGAATTAAAGAGTTTATCAAATTTTTTCATGATATACTTTAAGCAACATCTTATTGAATTTTATAAAGAACAGTTGAATGAAAGAATTTATCAAATATTCACATTTAAATGATATACTTAAATCTTCCGGTATTATACGTGAGGTAAAGGCTCTCATGGTATTCGAGTATGATACGAAGAACGGGGTACGATGAGAGAGAGAGAGAGAGAGAGAGAGAGAGAGAGAGAGAAGAGAGAGAGAGAGAAGAGAGAGAGAGAGACAGAGAGTAAGTAGTCGATCTATATAATCATTACTACCGACTAATTTAACACGATAACGAAACGGCAGACGGGGTCAATAGGAATTTGTCGTGTTCCGTTGGAAATCAAAGCCGGGACACTTAATGTCGCATAGGGACGACAGCGGATGGTAGATAGAACGACAAGAACCAGCCCGGAAGAAGCGAAGGGTGGCGGAGGCAACGGAGACAAGTGGAAGTCGAAAGGGATCCACAAGCGAACTCAAGGGGGACAGGTGACGGAAAAGACGGGCGGCGGATAAAAATGGTGGGATGGGTAGGCCAGTCAATTCAGGAGGACTCAAGGCAGCGGAAGTGGAAAAAGAATCATGGCTGCGAATCCGGCGACCAACGGATCACTAGTCGGCTATATTCGACGTACTCCGACACTGAATAGAGTACACGAGCCAAACCAGATTGGCGTTGCCACAAGCCAAGTTCCAGAGACCGAGCAACGTAGCTTTCCTTCTTCTAATGTCACGTCACTACCTAGAAAAGAAACGCATTAATCTTTTAAGAATATCGGCTACTTGGCCCGCGCAGTAATTCCCTGGGTAAACCGATGTTGCTTCGTTTGACCATTCCTGCGAGTTTTATACACGTAATTCACGAGTATCCACAGTTGCGACGAATTAGTTTTATTTTGGCACGTAAACGTAAAGATTTTTGTTACGTCGGCAATTTATCGTGTCGTTTGAATTGTTTTCATTCAAAAGTGTAATTCTTTGTTCGGAATAAAAAATAATC